CCAGTATTTACATTTTCACAATGTTAAGTCTTCCTATCCAGGAGCACGGTACATTCTTCCATTTTTGTAAGTCTCTTTTGGTTTCTTATAGTAGTGTTTTGTAGTTTTCTTTGTATAGGTCCTTTGTTTCTCTGGTTACATTTATTCCTAGATATTTCATCCTTTAGGCGGCTATTGTAAATGGTATTGCTTTCCTATTGTCCTTTTCAGCGTTGTCATTGTTACTATAGTGGATTCCAACTGATTTTTATATGTAGTTTTTATACCGTGCCACTTTGCTGAATCCACCAATGAGGTCTAGTAGCTTTTTTACTGAGTCTTTGGGGTTTTCTATGTATATAGGATTATTATCTTCTGCAAATAGAGACTTTTACTTCCTCTTTGCCAATTTGGATGCCTTATATTTTACTTTACAAAAAGAGATTTGGATGCCAATTTGGATGCCTATACTATACTTTACAAAAAGAGACTTTACTTCCTCTTTGCCAATTTCCCTGTTTTGCCTTATAGCTCTTGCTAAGACTTCCAGCACAATATTGAATAGGAGTGGTGACAAAGGACATCCTTGTCTGGTTCCTGTTTGCAGAGGGAAGGCTTTCAGTTTTTCTCCATTGAGAGTAATGTTAGGCTGTTGATTTTGTATATATGCTCTTGATGATGTTGAGGAATTTGCCTTCAATTTCTACTTTGTTGAGTGTTTTTATCAGGAATGGATGTTGGACTGACAAAATCTCTTAGCTTCTGTTTATCCTGGAATGTTTTGATTGCATCACCATATTTGATTGACAATTTTGCTGGATAGATGATTCTTGGTTGGCAGTTTTTTTTCTCTTAGGGTTTTATATATGTCTCCCCATTGCCTTCTTGCCTGCAGGGTTTCTACTGAGAAGTCAGAGCTTAATCGGATTTGCTTGCCGTTGTAGGTAACACTTCTCTTTTCCCTGGCTGCTTTTAGGATCCTCTTCTTGTTTTTGGTTTGGAGAGCTTGATTATGATATGTTTTGCTTTTCTTTTGGGGTCTATTCTTCCTGGGGTTCGTTCAGTTTCTTGAATGTTTATCTTCTCATCTTTCAAGATGTCAGGGAAATTTTCTTCCAGTAATTCCTCAACTATCTCCTCTGTGGACTTCTGTGATTCTTCCTGTTCCGGAATGCCAATAATTCTTGTTATTCCTCTTCTTGTTATCCAGTATGAGTCTCAGACTCTCTTCAGATATTTTTCATCCTTTTTTCTACTTGCTCTTCTGTCTTAGCAGTATTGAAAGATTTGTCTTCCAGCTCACTGGTTCTGGCTTCCATCTCTTCCATCCCACTCCTTTGCCCTTTCAGTTTATTGTCCATTTCTGATACTTTATTTTTAATCATTTGAACCTCTTTTTGAAGGTTTTGAATTTTTCCAATGCTGTGTCTTTTTTAATTGCTCCTGTAGCACTTTCCTGACTTCTTCCTTATTTTCCTCCACCCCTTTGTGGAGCATTCAAATTTGTTTCCATATCATTCTACTGGCTACTCAGGCAGAACCAAAGTCTGCTGTTTTTGTGGGAAGTCTGTGTCTGCCTCCAGCTCATTTGTCTCAGTTACTCTTTTCTGGTTTTGGACATGTTTTGGGATCTTTCATTGTTTTTTCTTGGACATTTTCAGTAGTTTGGTGGGGTATTAATGCTTAAATGGATGTACGTTACTGTGTTAAGGTTACTGAGTGTCTCCTGGTGGATGTGATGTGGAGATGTTGTTGTTAGGTGCCATCGAGTCGGCACTGACTCACAGCGACCTTATGCACAGCAGAACAAAACACTGCCCGATTCTGGCCCAACCTCACTACTGTTGCCACGCTTGAGTCCATCGATGCTGCCACCTGGCCAATCCATCTCGTTGGGGGTCATCACGGTCAACTCTACTTTGAAAAGGCAGCTCTTCCCCAGTTGCATTTTGAGTGCCTTCCAACCTGAGGGGCTCATTTTCCGGCACTATATCTGACACTACCTCCCTTTTTACGTGTAATGCTTAGCAGCTAGTATTGGCTCCTGTCCAGATGGTAGGATATTACAGGGTATGCTTGTAGCTTGGCTATATGAGCACATTTTCTATCTCTTCTTAGGTAAGGCAACAACTCCTACCCCCAAGAAAAGAGACCAAAAGGACCAAAACCAGAAACAATATAAAAGCAGAGACAAAAACCTCCACTCAAAAACAAAATTAAAACCATTGCCAACTGTCCAGTAGCCTTTGCTGTGCAGGCAGCCATAAAGGGTCCCACCCAGTTAAACTTTAGGGCTGAGTCCCAGAGTCAGATGTCATAAGAAGTAGCCTGTGGGACCAATGGGGCTCTAAAGAACCTCCTCTCTGTGCTGTGGGTAAACTGGGGGTGCAACCCTAGACCATTTTGGGGGTGTACTCCTGCCCACATGAAGGTGTCCTGGCTGGGCAGTGAAGTTGTGACCAGTGAGAGAAAGAAAGAAATGTGAAAAATTGAAAGTGAAAATGAAAATTCTGTCACACCTTTTTCCAGACACAGCTCCACCGCTTTTTTAGCACTGTCACTGTATCCGCTTCAATTTCCAGTTTTTAATGATTTTTCCCTTTCTTTTCCAAACTCTTCCTTATTGATTTTGTTATTTATTGAAACCATTATATGAGTCTTGGTGTGATGCTGTAGGATAAGCATTTAACTGTTATCTGCAAGGTTGACAGTTCAAGCCCACCAGCCGCTCCTCAAAAATCCTATATAGGGTTGCTATGAATTGAAACCGACTGCACAGCATTTAACATATGAGAAGTATTGTACAAATAATTTAAGATGGCCAGTCATTGCCTTTAAGAAATGTATAAATCTAGACCAAATCTCCAAGGAAGAGACCCTAATAAAAGTAATTCACAAATTCCAAAATAGAGAATCCACAAATCAACAAATTTGTGGTTCTTTTGGAATAGTTGAAGGCCTTTGGCTGAATAAGGGGTGTAAACTAGTGGACAAAAAAAGGGAATCGAGTCCTGGTGTGGCGATATAGGATAAAACATTGAGCTGCTAACTACAAGGTCCGAGGCTCAAATTCACCAGCTCCTCGAAAATTGCATACTGGCGCTATGAGCCGCAGCTGAGTTGAGGGCATTTAACAATAAACTGGCAATGAGAAAGTTCTCCTTGGAAGGCGTGGACTTGGAGAAGTCTTTGAAGCAGTGGTTTCCAATTGGCCCAGATCCCACATGAAAGCAGCTCTCGGAGGAGCCGCGGTCCCTACACTACCAAAGGACTACAAATTAATCCAGAAACGACCACCATTTACAGTTTGTTGTAAATTACTACTCTTCCTTTTTAGCTACACATCTTCTACAATTAAGGTTGTAACCATTACAATTAATCACAACCAGGTTCTTTTGATTGCCTATATTTAGCTGCACATTGTTGCTAAGTGCCGTCGAGTCGGTTCCGACTCATAGCGACCCTGCATAGGGTTTCCAAGGAGCAGCTGGTGAGCTTGAACTACCGACTTTGCTGTTTAAACGATTTTGCAGTCTGACGCATTATTCCACAGCGCCACACCAGGAATTAGGGCCAGTAAATTTCGAACGTTTCTCGGACTAGATTTTCAGGTGGCTTCCCGGCTCGTCAATTATATGGCTCATTCCCTACCCAGCCTTTGATTGCCCCTTTATGACACGACACCTGGGATTCTTTCTCCTCTACGCCCTCTCAGGCTTCCCTCTGCCGCTTCTGTTTCTCATTGGCCAGCAAAGAGGAGAGGGTAGGAAAGGAACACTCTATTTTACTCGGTAAACTCTTTCACTTCTAGTTTTCCGGTCTTCTTTTAGGGTGTCAGGCGAGCAATAATTGCCTGGAGTTGCTGCGCAGGCGTGCAAATGTGCTCGCAGATGAAGGGACACTTCTCCTTGGTCCCAAGAGGATTCGTTACATTGCTGTGACGCAGTTGCCCCCCCTCCCACCAGCTCACCAACTTCACTTAGGATTGGGTATTTCCGAAGTCCGTCACATTACTAAGCCCTCTCCCCTGCCTAACCCCTAGCTCCAGTGCGTAATAAACCGTCTAGGAGGCTACGCCTCACTCCCCCGTTCTTGCCGCTGAGTTCTGCGATTGGCGAAAGGAGCTGACATGCATTCCTACCAGCTGTCTTCCTTCTCCCTATGGGAGTGGACCTTCGTGCAGCGTCTGAGGCTGGCGGGACCCCGCGGAAGTTGTCAATCAAGCTCCTCCCGCCCCATCTCCCGAGAGGCCCCTCCTCCGAGCCGCGCGCCCTTGCGCGCGCGCACACAGGAGCAAATACAACCCCCCCCCCCACCCTCTTCCCTGTACCAACCACCTTCTCAAGTTGTAGCGGTCGCTTGCTGGGGGTTCTCCGTGGGCGGCAGACGGCGCGTGGGGGAGGGGGTTGGGGCCGCTCGGCGCAGCTAGGAGCGAGTTTGTGCGTACGGAGGGCTGGGGTGGCGGGTCACAGCCTCGGGAAATGAGGGGCCAGCGCTGACAGGGAAGAGCGGGCACCCCGGCGGCCGCTCTGAGGGGACCCGCGATGGCAGCGCCCTGGGAGGCGGCTCCAGGCAGGACGGGCAGCGCAGGCAGCGGTCACTGAAGTGCTGGCTGGCCGGCTGGCTGGAGACCTGGGCTGAAGGGACGGGAAGAGCGCTCGGCCGCACACCCGCGCTCTCGCTTCAGTTGTCTAAACTTCGGGCTCCTTTCCACCCGCCCTCCGCGCCCGGAGACAACAACTTCTTCACCCCCCTCCGCCCCCGCCCTTCCCTCCGTCAGCCCCGGGAGCTCGCCGCGCGGCGGGGATCAGGAACCTCCGGGACTGCGATGTGGCCGTGAGGCGTTGGCGGGCAGTGCGAAGCTCGGCGGCACCCGGGAGTGGCGGGCGGTGTGGCTGGGGGGACGGGGCGGAGGGGCGCGAGCTCTCCGCGCCTCTCCCCGCCTCCTCCTCCTGCCGTCGCTGCCGCTGCCCGTTCCGTGCTAGCAGCAGCCGGAGCTGCCAAGCGCCAGGGCAGCGGAGATGTCGTCGTCGTCGCCGGCGGGGGCTGCTAGCGCCGCCATCTCGGCCTCGGAGAAAGTGGACGGTTTCACCCGGAAATCGGTGCGCAAGGCGCAGAGGCAGAAGCGCTCGCAGGGCTCGTCGCAGTTCCGCAGCCAGGGCAGCCAGGCGGAGCTGCACCCCTTGCCCCAGCTGAAAGGTAAGCTGGCGGCGCTCGCCTCCGCGCAGGCAGAGCCATTTCCTCCCCGGTTTCCCTCCTCGCTCGCCAGGGGCTCCTGGGTGTGTGTGAGCAGTGTTTCCCCGCGATGCCTTGGCGCCCCTCTCCCCCCACCCCCACTTCCATTTTTAACACTGATTTTTCACACCAGTTTAATGTTGAGAGTCTTGCTTGTTTTCTTGTCTCTTCCTAACTTCCTCCGATCTTCCTATTTCAGGGATAAAAAGCTCGCTAGCAAACAACTCTCTCCACCTGCGCGCTCGCTTACCTGCCGCTCGGATTAATCTTCCCTCTCCGCCCAGGCTCGCTGTGCCCCTTCTGGCTTGAACTACCCACAGCTTTTCCGACCTTCACTTTCCCGAGTGTCCGCTCCTCTTTCGGCCACTCTTAGCTAGTCCTTTACTTTTCCAGTATAAAACCGTCTGCGCCCACCTATTCCCTGATTTCTCCCTCCCATTGACTGTCCCTAAGAGTCACACAGATCAGAATCCTAAAGCCAACCCTGGGGAAGAGATAGCTGGCTCGTTTTTAAATTTTCTTTAGTCATAAAGCTTAAAAATGTGACCAGTGAGAAATATATTTGCTGGGTTGTTAGGTTTTAAATGTTCTCGTTTAGCCCAAAGAGTGGAAAGATTTAAAATAGCTCATTACCTGAAATTTAAGGACGTATACAGGAGTGTCCTGTTACTCTCCGATGGAATGGGAACTTCTTTTGCCAGGTTGTGATTCCCGGGAGTTTGTAGGTTTGTTCTGTATAGGATGGTGGCTCTCCGCTCCCAGCGCCTTGCGGGAGAACTTGGCAATCCTTTTGGCTCTCGTACTTTTTCTACAAGGTTCAAAGGACTTTCAATAAGTGGTTTTTTGGTAGTCTCCCTCATTCTTTGTGAATTTGCTACCTCTGAATTTTATAATTTTAGCATCCCATTTTTAGGAGATATCGTGGTGAAATTTATTAAAAATTTTGCAACAAAAGGAATTTGATAGAGATTTAGATCCTTTGCTTTGCAGGAAATTAAAAGTTCACCCTAAAGCAGGTAAGTTTTCAACAGATTTTGCAATCTATTAACAAAGCTCTAGCATCCCTTTCAAGGCCAGTGTGATTCTGATTTTCTTTGGGCATATGAATGCAGCCATAGTTTGGCAAGGAGTCTAAAGAAAACCCCAGATCAAATCACAGTTGGCTTGTAGTAGCTCTGGGACCCTTTTCAGAGACTGCCCTGTTTTGAGGGTTGCTTCTAAATCAAGGACTTCCTACAGCAAAATCAGATTGGTTTTTGAGAGGTTTTACTTAAGATATGCTAAAGAGATGTAATCTGATTATTTGGTAGCTCTTTAGTTTACAAAGATTGTTAAAACTTAACACATGTTGGTCAGTGATAGGCCACACAATTGTAGGCATTAGCAAGACTTTAATTCTTGAGTGATGTCATAGTAATAAAAGAATAACATCCTATGTGTTAGGACATTGCATTTCTATTCATGGATTTAAAATTTTAACTTAATTAAAATAGTCTACTTTTATTGTATTAATTTTTTCATTTATCTAATTATTTTTGCAGTTTGACGGTTTAGCACTGGCATTTTTTTTATATTGATTTAGGTTTTTAGTAAAATATTGTGGTTCCTTAGTGTTGTGCTATTTATGCACTTATCTAGGCTCCTGGTGTGGTGCTGTGTGCTAAACACTGACTACTAACTTGCTAACCACAGAGTTGGCAGTTCAAACCCACCAACTGCTCTTGGGAAACCCAATACAGGGTCACTATATGTCAGAACCCATCAATGGCAGTTAACAACAAAACATCAATTTAAAAAATTATTCTAATATTAAGCATAGTTGTTAGTCAGGAGATGCAGCTTTAATGCATTTGCTTCTAAAAACCTGGCAAAAGTATGTATAGGGTCAGTAATTTCTCTAAATTGGTTCAAGTGAAGATGTCATTGAATTATTTATTTATGGTTTTTAGTCATTAGTACAGAAGGGAAAAAATAAATTGAAACCTTAGAATAATTTTTGACTAGAACAGGATTCTGATGGCTCTCCACTCCCAGTGCCTTGCGAGAGAACTTGTCACTCCTTTTGGCTCTCGGTACTTTTTCCACAAGGTTGAGAGGGTTTTCAATAACTGTTTTTTTGGTGGTCTCCTTCATTTTTTGTGAATTTGCTACCTCTTAATTTTATAATTTTAGCGTCCCTTTTTTTTTTTTTGAGATATTTTGCATGAAAAAATAGCATTCCTCAAGGAAAAGGTCTGCATTCAAGATAAATACATACCGTTTTTTCTAAGACTCTTACTTGGATTACCCACTAACAGGAAAAACTACTTTTATTCCAGATTCAAAAATGCTTGAAAAGTGATTTAAAAAAAAAAAAAATTCAGTAACATCTCTTGATACTTTGGCAGTGTATTTAGTACCACAGCCTTGTGTTTTTCGTCAGTAGTACTTTTTTTCCATTTGTGGTCTTAACAGAAACCAGTGGAAAGCCCTTTAGTGTGTGTATATTTTTCTTCCTGCTCTGAAATACAATCTTACTATGAAGTGGTTCAGATATCTGTGTGTATTCAAGATCTTTCAAGTGTTTATTCCACCCTGCTTCTGTTACACTTTGTCCACATGAGCCTGAAGTGGAAGGGTGCCAGCTAGTTTTCCTTAAAGCATATTGTGGATAAGGATTAATGACAGAATTCAACCCTGCATCTATAAAGAAGTGCATTTGTGCAAAATCATTAGTCAGTGGTTTGCAGGCTTTTCATGGTGCAAATGTTCGTAGTAAGTTATTTGTTTTGTTATAGAAAATAATAAATAGGCCGTGTTAAATGATTTTTAAAATGAGGAACTATTATATGGGTCTTGAAAATTAAACTGTCTCAGTACTGTATAGTTTTAATTTTTCCCCTTAAAATACTTTTTTAATCTCTAATTATGTTAGTCTATAAACTTCTCTGAGAGCTAGGTACTGGAAAATAAAAGTAGGAGCATATTTTTAGTCATTTTTTTATGTGAATTTAAATTTAATTTAGCATAGGGCTTACTTTTTCTACTTTAAACATTTCATCTGTTAACCAAGAAATAGAAACATTTGAACTTATAATAAGTTTCTGTTAGAGACAATGGGAAGAGGGATCCCTAGTACTGTAATGAGTTATGAGTTGTACTGTAAACAAGAAGGTCAGCAATTCAAATCTAACAGCAACTCCTTAAAGAAAGATGAAGGCTTTCCCTGCCAGTAAAGATTTACAGCCTCAGAAACTCTATTCAGGGTAACTGTGAGTCAGAACCAGTTCGGTGGCAAATAGCCAGAGACAATAGGAAGTTTTTAGTTTGTTTAATATGCTCTGTTTATTACGTTTCTGGGTGGGTTGGTGTGGTATAGTAGTTGATACCTTATAGCTATATAACATTTTAGCATTTTCAAATTTTTTTACCCTTGTATTTTTTATTCTAAAAATATCCAGAAATGTATAACCCTCAATCCTTATATCCCTTGCATTTTTCACACCCCTTCTAAGGGCGTCTTGGTGTGGCGCTGTGGGTTAATGCAAAGTAGCTTCGAACCGTAAGGTTGGCAGTTCAAGCTCACTAGTCTCTTCTCAGAAACCCTATACAGGGTCACTATAGGTCGGAATCAACTCGTTGGCACTTAACAACAACAAAGATCACTAGGTGTCAGAACCAACTTGATGGCACTTGACAACAAGGTGACACAAGGAACCCTTGTAGTGCTGTGTGCTAAGCATTGATTGGGCTGCTAACAGCAAAGTTGAGGATTCAAACTCACTAGTCTCTCTACCGGAGAAAGATGAGGGTGTCTACTCCATAAAGATTTACAGTATTGGAAACCCTATATAGGGTCGCTTTGCGCCGGAATTGACTCATTGGCAGTAGGTTTGGTTTTGGTAAGGTAACACGAATCAATGTATTTTTGCGAGCACTGTATTTTATTCAAGGCCCTTAAAGGAGCTTTGGTAGCATAGTGGTTATGAAACGGGCTGCAAACCTTAAGGTCAGTGGTTCGAAACTACCAGCCGTTCCACGTGAGAAAGATGAGGCTTTCTGCTCCCGTAAAGATTTACACCCTCGGAAACCCTGTACAGGGTCGCTATGGGTCGGAACTGACTTGACAGCACTTAACAACAACATTATTGTTGTTAAGTGCCATGGAGTTAGTTCCTGCTCATAGTGACCCTGTACAGACCCTTTCCATGGCTATAAATCTTTCTAGGAGCGTAAGGCCTCATCTTTCTCCTGCAGAATGCTGGTGGGCTCAAATCACTGATGTTGTGGTTCAGCCCAGTGCTTAGCCTACAGAGCCACCGTGCTCCCTGTATTATTACCATTATATTAATGAAGAAGTTGAGGCTTAGACAGATTGGGTTCATGCCTATGAGGATAATGTTGCAGTTGGCACTGTGATCCATTTCAAATCATTTCATAGTTTTTTTCACTTGTCCGTGCTGTTTGAAGTAGTTTGATAGAAAGAATTGAGTCATTGACGTGGCCAAAGGTAAAAATTTAATCTTTCTGAGCCATTTTCCTTATCTGTAAAACACAGATAATGCCTTCTGTCTTTCTAGGATTGTGGGAATTAAGTGAAATAATGTAATTAAAATGCCTAAAAATGGCAGAGAATGTTAGTTCCTATTCATTTGAATATTTAATAATCCAGATTTAAAGTATTTTTATAGTAAAGACTTCACAATTGTTGTTGTTATGTGTCGTGGAGTCAGTTCTGACAAATAGCGACCCTGTACAGGGTTTCTGAGGCTATAAATCTTTATGGGAGCAGAAAGCCTCATCTTTCTCCTGTGGAACAGCTGGTAGTTTCCAGCTGCTGACCGTGAGATTAGCAGCCTGATTCATAACCACTACGCTACCAGAGCTCATACTGGTAAACCTTCCTTCTGTGTTTAAAGTGTGATTTCATTTATAATCAGATTCTAAAATTTTGAAAGATACAGATTTTTTTTGCCAAGCAAAGA